AATAGTATGTACCATGAAGAACTGGTGGTGCTCAAGAAAGCATCTTTACTACCTAACTTGTACTGGGTAAAAAGTTATCTTCACAGGTTTCATTGTTTCTCCAGTATTAGGTACTTTCTAATGTTCGCTACATACAGTTGTGGAAAAGACAGCAACATATACAGATTTAAGAAAAAAAATAAGGAAAAAATAGGTTGAAATGTCAATCATACTTTGCTGTCATATATAGGAATGATGAAACAAAACAGTGACCTCTAAGTGGATGCACTGTCGGTTTCAAGAATTAAGATGAGCCGGGCTCATTGTCAGCTTTGATTGTCAAAAATAAGGTAGCAGAGACACTAATATGAACCTCAGATGACAGTTCTATTATGAATAAGAGATGAAAAAAACTCAAGGAACATGAAAAAAGGGTTTTCTTCTGATTAATTGGGACCAGAATGACATTGCTTGACATGGATTTTGTTTAACAGAGGTGTTTAAAATGCCTCAGACTAAATGTGACATGAAAATTATTCTATTGTTTATAGATTTACTGAACAAACAGCTATCGTAATTAAGACTATCTCTTACCATGGAAGTTTGATTTGAATATAGAAACAAGACCTTATTGCTACCTTTGGAAGCATATTCCACAACCCAATTACTGATGCAACAGAAAAATTTCTTTCAACCTTTGCAGTTACAAAAAGCAATCTGTATTTTTAAACTTCCATTTTCTTTACTCAGAGCATTTTGAATACAATCTACTTCTAAAGAAAAATACTTTCTGCTACATTTGAGGTATATATACATGCAATCAAAGCTGCATCTCCAATTTGTATTCATGCATTTCAGGTAACATTACCTTGGCTAATGTTACTGCAAATAAATGCGTAGCCATAGCAGCAGAGAACTTGATGCAAGCTGCAAAGCCTGACTGAAAACTTAGTGAATTATGCAGCTTTCTGTGCTACAGTGGGCTCCGTGCTATCCTGGGTATGCTGCTATGTGTATTTGAACTTACCTAGCTTCAAATAAACGTGCAAGCTGCAAATATGCCTTGACTGTTGTTGTAAATAATTGATAAACTCAGATCAGCCATAGCTGTTAGCTGCTTGAAATGATCTTCTATCTAAAGTGCAAAATCCTGATCATTGAAAATTAAGTGCTTTCTTCTGCTCCCTAAACAAAATAAACAAGCTCCCCTGTTAGACGCTACTGAATCAAAACCTTACCGAAGCACGACACTAAAACTATACAAATATTCTACTTGTGTCATACAGTGCTCCAAATAGGAATTACAGCAAAAGCATATACCACAATATTTACTGCATTTTATGGCTCTTTTGCACTTAAAGCAAACTGTAACATTATCGGGTAGTTTTGAACATACATGTAAATCAGTTGTTAATTTAAAAAAATCAAAGCACTGTGAATGGAAACAAAGAAAATAAATATACCAATCATAGCTATGTCAACAAAAATCGAGTGAAAATTGTTTGCATTCTTAAGATGTTGGAACATTTCAAAGATCCAGCAGTTCCAAATGTGTATTATTTCTATTAGTTATGCAGCAGGGCTTTTCCTCGGCAAGAAATTATCTGACTTGATGGACCTTGTCACAAGCAGAAAAAATACGATTGGCAATTCTGATCACAGAAATAGAGTACATTTAAGCTTGACAAAAAACACATACCATGTTAGAATGAGGCAATCTGCTCAATAAAAGAAGAGTATGGTAGGACTGAAAATAAAATAACACACTCAAGAGGCTACTCTAGGATGCAGCATGAGAACCAGTGCTCCCTTTTAGTCAGAAATATCAGCTGAACACTATCAGAGATTTCTGGAGAGCTCAACAAATCACGAAGAGAAAAACAGCCTACCAATGACTAGCATTCCACTAAATTTATTATTCCCTCCTTTTTTTTTTTTTTTTTTTTTTTACTTAGGCAGTCCATTTAGTTAAAGGAAACAATTTCAGTTCTCAGTTCTACAGCTAAGTAGTTTCAGCTTGCTCCTCTGTGTTACTTTGTTTTATAGGGCTTGGCTTGGTCTCACGAGCAAGCAATAGTTTGGTACCGTGAGTAGCATCGTACTGAGGATGACAATGGTAATGGTTAGAGAGATTTCCTTCCTGCTTCCATTTCTATTACAGTTATGGAGACAGCGTGCATTCTAGCTGTGTTTCTCTCCCTTGCCATCCCTTGTGAGACATGGAGTTCTAGTTCCCATCTGTGCTTGGGTTTGATTTGTATTCCACTTTTTTAGAGAAATATCTTTAATCATAAAGACTAAATCAGTTTTTATTTATTTGCTCGTTTTTGTTTTGTTTTGAAACAGAATAGATTAGCTAGAACTTGATGGCATCGGCCTGACAGAGATTGCTACACTCTGAACGATGCAGAGGACAGACATTTCAAGTCATGGCTTGTAATTCTTTGACTGCATGATGATTCAAAATAGTTCATCCTAGGTATGAATCAGCAGTGTGTATTAATAAAGCATATCTACTATGAGTAAATTTGTTAGTCTCATCAGAAGCAGCAGTAACCAAACCAGTTAACTCAAACAGCCGAAATCAGTACAGAAGCAAACAAGGAAAGTGCTTAAATTGCTGCTTGAAGGCTTTATCGGTCTCCACATATTTTAAGTTTACAGTAACCAAGTACGTTTTCGCTGTGATACAAAACTCAGCATCTATTTGAAATTTTAGTTTGGAAAAATAGCAAATCAACGGAAGAGCAAGCCGATACTTCTGTCTAATGATATATTCCAATTTTTCTGAAGTGGGCTGAAATCACAGACTTCTTGCTTATACAGTGTGTATATAATAAACCATAATATAAAGTATTCATCGCTCATTATACACATATACATAGAAAGACTAGGTCATTGCATATGTATCTGCATGAAATATAAAGTGCAAGAAAAAATTATATAGTGGATAATATGGAAAAAACCCTGACATTATACATTGTTGAACTCAGAAACAGAAAATCAAAGAAACTTTATCATTATAATTCTTGCTTTGACTAAGCCACATCATTAACTTCACTGAGGTTATTACTGTCTAAATATAAACTTCAATACTCAGGGTCTTGTATTCATTCTAGATAGTATGCAATCCACATAATTTCTAGTTTCCCAATAACAAAATAAATAAATTATTTAAAGCAAATTCACAACTTACCTACACAGACTTTGAATAGCAAAAAAAAAGTTCACCTCAAAGATGAGCTTGGAGCAACTAATGACCCTATATTTCTATCAAAAAGTCAAAAAGGCTTTGATAAGCAAACTCACCATAACCTACATCAAGTTTGGTGCTGTTTGGCTCAAGATAGGAAGATGCAACATGTACACATTGTGACAAGCATCAACAAATCAAAAACATCCTAATGAATTCCTTAAAAGAAAGTTTAGAGTCGTATTATGCTGTTTCTGAGCTAACAAAACAAGTGAAAGAAAGCTGAATATTTTAAAATGTCTTAGAATCAGATTGTTTCAAAATGATCTATGAAAAACTGACTTTGGTAAAAACAAGAAAAAAAATCCAAGAGTTTACTTTTATTCTTCTTTCCAAATCAAATGTCTAACCTTCAAACTTCAGTACCAAATTATATCCATATGATGTACAAATCAGCCCCTGGGTTAAACTAAGATTTTGCAGAAATAAAATCTTGGGGTTGTTTTTGTTTGTTTTTAGGGTTTTGGTTTTAACCTGAAACATAAAACATGGCTGATGGTTGTCCAAATGCAGTTAGTTTGAAAACTGGAAACTACGCTGTCTGTCCACAGCTAGCTAGATAGATAAAGTGGGCTGAAAAGAAGCAACATTCAACATAATTGTTCTTACAAGCAGAAACATTTATAGGATAAATTCAGATGTGCTCTGTAGATATTATTCAAATATCAATGTTATGTGCTAGACAAGCACGTGTTAAATATATTTGATTCTTCTTTGAGTCAATTCCTGTAAGTGAATCAATTATCTTTAAACTGTCCTTCCAGCTCTATTTTCTTTAATTTTGTGTTCAATAATGCCAAATTCTGTACGTTCTTTTTTTGCTATAGACACTTAAGAACTAAACACTTTAACATGAGGTATAATTAATATCGTCAATTTGATGGCGTCTGCTTTATAAACTCTGTGGTGCATTAAATATCAAAGGATAATGCATTCTGCTTACAAAACTAAGAAAGAAGATTTTTTTTTTCTTTACGTTTAAATGAAAATTTTTCTTTAACGGAGATACTCCATATATAAGCTTTTTCCTAAGACCACAAGTTGTGAGGCACTGAAAACAGTCACTCTGGACTTCTCAAGCTGAATTAAAACACAGCTAACATAATAACATTCTGAAGATTGTCTAACAAACAGAACTAAAGAGCACCCGCGCTCTCACTGTAACTTTTCACATACGAGCAAGTCCTACTGATTACAGAGGGACATTTCAGGAGTTTATGAATAAACATATGCATAAGACTTATGCTCAAAATTTGGAGAAAGATTTTTCTATGAAGTAACTGATTAATTTACTGTTACTTTTCTGATGCAACATCACTTTTGAATGATACTGGTAAATGATAGCTTAAACCATTCCAGCTACAGTATCAAGAAAACCAAGACAAAGAAAAACGGAACGAATGCAAAAAGTTCTCTGATTCAATATCATAAACACTTAGTAACATTTAAAACATTCTGCAATCTATGCTTTCTATTATAGTTCTATAATCCATTGTAAAACCCTTGCATAACTGCTCTTAATGATTATAAAAGTACTACATTTAAAATCACAACCAAACTTTAAATAAATAAAAAACCCACAAAAGAGAGAAGAGCTTTGCAAAATAATCGATAAATATAGTTTCAAGATGTAACATTCAGGTGATTCTTAAAAAGCATGTTCCAATACGGTTTAAGTATTCCACTAACGTAGAACACTGAAAAAATCACAGCAGTCTTCTGAAAACACAGAACAACTACACAAGCTAACTTAAGAAGAGCATGCAATTCATGAATATGATTCATTACCATGGTTACAAGCTTTCAGCACAGGCCGCTGTGTGGTTGGACTGAGATTTTGCGGTACGTCTGCAAAAGCAAAGAAACAATGGAAATAAAACACATCTTTGAAAGTTACTTGAGTATTGTAACAACACTACTAAGCAGAATTATTTAGAAGTTTGATATTTCTAGGGCTAAAGTGACGGTTATATACCAGTGAAATGATTTGATTCACTTATCGGGCAAGATGACTTTTACTTCCCCCCTTCAACTATAAACCCTAAAAAGTTAAAGTACGTGTGGTTATGTCGAAGAGTCTTGTCACAATAATCAGGCTACACTAAGTTCAGTAAACTGATCTCCAAAGTGCTACTGACATCAGCAAACAACCTGAACATGCCCGATAGTTGTCATTGCAACAAAGAATTAAACCTGACAGTATTTTAGTTCTAGAGCACTGGACCCATAAGCCTTTTAACTTTCTTTGGGAAATAAAATATAAAATAGAATATTCACCTTTAGACCTTGGTGTCCTTTTCCTTCGGTCTCGAAAAGCTGCACCTGATTGCAAGGCCTCCAATAGGCTATCCATCACTCCAGTCTCCTCACCTTCTGTAAAAGAGAGAGAAGGAGCTCTCTAGGTTACCATAGCAATATCAAAGCATGAATAATAATAACAATAAAACAACAATAAAATATATTAATGGTCTTATTAAAATTATTTATTTCAAACTTAGACCAGGGTTTTAACATCCACTAATCGCTCTCTTGTAATTAATCACAATGGATTTGGTCTTCTATATATTGAACTAGGCCAAGTTTTCTTCCATTCATTTCGCATTCCTCTCTCTCCATAGTGAAAGTCAAGCATAATTTTAAGTGAAATGTCATTTCACTCATATTTTCATTTCAGTATCCTTTTGCAACTGCAAATAATCAGTTTCATGTCAGATTTCAAGAGCTGTCCCCTAAATGATTTGCTATATTAGACAAGAGATCATTTCAGTTATTGTTATAAAACATTGAAATAGTTTCTCAACAGGAAGCTGAGTGAACAATATTGGATTGGATAGGATACAGAGTGATATCCATAGGTAGCTTTAATCAAAAGCCATTTTCCCTTCATATTTAATAACGTCTGGCCAATATTAAATAATTGATGTAGTTCAGGAAAATTCTACTCATCGTATTAGACATATATGTATAACATCCCCCAGCCAAAATCATGAATGTTACTATGAGATTATAATTTAATGCAGGCATTAAATGCCCTACTTTTATTTCCTCAAATAAACACATTAGAAAACGTTATGATTTTTGAACCTTGTTAATCCCTTGTCTGATGCCCAGGAGGACAAAGAACCCAACTCTAGGGATTTACTATATGATGAAAAACCACCCCAGAGGAAAAAAGAATTACGCAATAGAAATCTCATTATTCTGCACCAGGCAAACCTCCCTAGGTCAATACACACCTTGGATACAGCCAGACATTTCACACGATTCTGCAGTTACTGCCAGCAGTGAATATTCAAATCAAGATCTAATCTAGATGATGGGTAGAACAAGATGCCATGCCACTAATTTATGGAATTCTGAAAGTAGTAGACTACAAGTAAGGAACTAAGGTAATCTTCTGGACCTGCATATAGGCGAAAATTATTATAGGAAATGTTGCGTTCCAACACTTTTTCTATTTGTTTCCCTCCTTTAAAGAAATTCCATCTTTTAATAAGCTTTAAAGAATTCTAGCATCTTTCTAAGGTAAGTGGTTTCAATGGCAACAAAAATTATTCAGACAAAAAAGCTCAAAGTTGCAGAGAGAAAAGTCTGGCAAAGTATCATGAATGTGGTATTCTAGAAACAACATTTTTACTTTCTCTATTCTAGAACTAAGTCAAGATTTAAGTCTAACTTAGCTTCTGAGAAGTCTAAGCCTAGATATCATCTAAAAGCAGAAAAAAAGAGGAACAAGAGCCTCCTTTTCTCCAGGCCAAACAGCCTCAGTTCCCAACAGCTTTGTTGAACATCTTCAGACACACTCCAGCATCTCAATGTCTTTGTTGTAGTGAGGGGCCCAAAACTGAATACAGTATTCGAGGTGCAGTCTCACCAGTGCTGAGTACAGGGGAACAATCACTTCCCCAGTCCTGCTGGCCACACTATTTCTGACACAAGCCAGGATGCTGTTGGCTTTCTTGGCCACCTGGGCACACTGCTGGCTCATACTGAGCCAGCTGTCGATCAACAATTCCAGGTCCTTTTCTGCTGTGCAGCTTTCTAGCCATTCTTCCCCAAGACTGTCATGTTGCATGGGGTTGTTGTGACCCAAGTGCAGGACCTGACATTCAGCCTTATTGAACCTCATACAATTGGCCGTGGCCCATTGATGCAGTATGTCCAGATTGCTCTGTAGAACCTTCCTACCCTCAAGCAGATCAACACTTCTGCCCAATTTGGTGTCATCTGCAAACTTAGGGTGCACTTGATCCCCTCAGCCAGATCAACTGATAAGATCTTAAACAGAACTGGCCTCAATACTGAGCCCTGGGGAATACCACTTGTGACCGGCCACCAACTGGATTTAACTCCATTCACCACCACTCTTTGGGCCTGGCCATCCAGCCAGATTTTAGCAAACAGTAACCCTTCATTCTTCTCTGTACTATCAGACTAGTTAACTTAACAACCTTACACAAAAGGGCTATACAAAAAGAGAAATAATGGAAAATTAGCAAATATTTTCTAATTTTTCATAACATTTAAGTTCTGTACAATACATCAGATACGAAACACAGAAGAAATAGATTTTTCCTCTTGCATTGTGTTTGGTATAACGTGCTTTATTAAGCTGAAGTTTGCTCTCTTATGACTAATGGACTATCACAGCTACTAATATGGCTTGGAACATACCTTATAAAATATTACTCAGATTATGTATCTAGCTTCCTGGGTTTTTTTTGTTGTTTTGTAGTACTGAGGGGCTTTTGCTTTCTTTTTTTTTTTTTTAAACTTTCCTTTCTCCATCTGATATTACGCTATTTTCTAAAATACTCAAGTTTGGAATGAAAACACTGAGTGAATAGTTTCAAACCAAAGTGATACGCTTGGAGCATTAGTTACATCAAGATACATGAATGTTGGAGGAAAGTTTATAAGTTTATAAGCATTTTGGGTAATAGTAATTCAAAAAGATTGAATAATATCAGTCTCCAAAATTATACTATAAATGTTTTATGTAAAAGAGTTCCTAAGCTTTGTTTTAGGAAGTAGGAAGAACAGAAGAAAAATTTCAATCCTTTTTCAGCATGTCATCGCTTTCCTTTTAACCCTATCCAAGACTACTATGGATTTCACAGTTATTTCAAAAACTTAACAGTTTTCAGAGAGAAAAATCCTGGTGCATAATCTGCTATACTATAAAAAGACTCATCGAATAAATTAAAAATATTTTAAACAATGGAATAAAAATACTGGAAACCCGCAAGTTTTTGTACCATAGCTGTAACATATTTATGGGTCCTATCTGTTCTTCATACTTATCTGAAATGTAGTGTAGTCACAAACTGGATTATAGATTAGTGCTTCCATTGATATACAAAACAGTTAACAGAAAAATAAATGGAGCATATAGAAACTTGAATTAGAAAACTCCTCTAGTAGTTTTCCTGTAAGCATGGATGTAATGAAAAAAGTTAACCACTGCAAATAAAAACATTCATAGTTAATAATCTCTGTACCCAAAACATGCAGAAAGCCTGTGTTTCAAACTTCTACAACATCATTTAGGCTCTAAATTCTGTTTTTTGATGCCTATGCAAACAGTTGACTGTGAAACCTTCTATGAAGTTACACAGCTAACTACTAATACCCATACAATGTATAATATTGTCCAAGTTTAAATGATAGAAAGTTTAAGAAATTAAAGTGTAATATACAGTATTTTAGAAATCTTTTAAATTGCCCTGGGAGAACTGCATACAACATTGCTACAGTGATAGTATAAGAGTCGCAAATATTGTTCAATATTAACACTTCCTATGGGACTTTTAAATCAGCTTCCACAAGCTGCTGCAGACTGCTGTCACCACTCCCAACTGGCTTTCTAATTAGTTAAGTGTATCAATCTTTTGACATCCTAGAACTAGGAATTCCAGTTGGCTTGCAGATAGCTACATAGCCCAGAATAATTCCTTTGAGAAATATACCCTTTTATGATCTAAATGATCTCTTTTCCTTCAATTGCAGAATAGGAGATTTAAATACTTTTTAATATCACACTTAATTAAAACTCATACAACCGTCTTTTAAATACCATCTAAAGCAGAAGTAAACTTGCCAAAATAGCTGGTAAGTTTTGCCCTTGACATTTCAGTGCCAAGTCAGATATAAACTGCCTAATTTCATAATTACATCTTTAAAAATGTTAAGAATATTAGAGACCCTTCTCCTTTAGTGTGCTGAGTATCATAAGCTTTACAGTACAAATTTAATATGTCTTATGATGATAGCAACAGATACTGCAGCAAGTAATGACTCCTCCATTTTATGTACTTATTAAGGAATAAATGATAGATATCACAATTCCAGGAGCAGTAGTCCATTGACATGCTAGAATTAAAATATCGTTATCAATATGGTTTTAAAATAAGAGTGTTGCAACAAGAATACTTTGGATGAAAAATACGTCATTTTTAGTTTCCCTGCATCTGTCCAGTATAAACTAAAACCTCACACTCAACAGTTGGACTCCAGAAGTTCACTTTACCAGGGAAAAAAATATCTAATAGTATATCTATTTGCTCTTTCAAGGAATCAAAGTTTTACTCAACCACTCCTCTCAAAAAAAAAAAACAAAACCTTTTTTTTCATGAAGGAAATACTAAGGAGCTTCAGAAAAAAACAAACTACTAGTTCTTCAGCATGTTTTTTGTAGATGTTGCCTACTCAGTCTGTACACTGAAAAGATTTATCTACAGGGACTTCATTTTCCACTGAGATCTACTTCATGGCAATTGAAATTGCACACAGCTTTTTGTTACACTGTAAGTAACGGAAAGGATCAGCTCCTAAAGGCAACCTGAATACTAAGCCTTATCTGAAAATAAAATTGCATAATTTGGACAACTGTATACATTAAAACCAGATCTGAATATTTCATAGCTGTAACAGAAGTAAAAGGGTGCAAAAACTCAAGGGCTTCTCATCAAGATATCTGAATTAGCAAAGACTTTCTTTATATCATCTTGCAAGTAACTCTAGATACTGACATGCACTCTACATACATGACAGCACTCCAGCTTTTTATACCATTCAAAAACAAACTTGGGAGTGCTGAATTGCACTGCATTTTCTTGCCTGAAGAATTAAGTTCTGATCTCACAATTCAGTAATTACCAGAGTGAATTATGTTTTTCTTCTTGTTTGACTAGAATACAAACTGCTTTTTTTCTTTTCAGCTCAGGATATAATTTAGGTCGGATATATTGTACCTAGTTTTTGATCAAGTGAAATTTAATCCCTTTGCAGCCTTCTTCCAGGTCCACCTACATTATGTCTTGTGCCTTAACATATAAAAATTTCTGAGGCAAGTGAATATCAGACTTGGGACA